TCCAAAAGGTTGCAATAGTACTCTGAATTTACCTTTTGTTGTCATTACCTTACCAGCTGATTTTATTGTCAAAACCTTACCAGCTGATTTTATTGTCAAAACCTTACCAGCTGATTGAATTGTTTTTGCCTTCAGTCCATTGTTTGGATTGTTCTTTTGTCTCTGGAATATAGTGGTGCATCCATGTCTCATCAACAGTTATGAAACGACGCTCCATCCATTTTATTTCGCTTAAAACCATCCAATCAAGCTTGAGAATGTTTGAATCGAATGTTTGATCGACTGTTAACAAATGCGGCAACCATCTTGCAGAAAGTATTTCCATTTGTAATTCTTCATGCAAAATTAAATGGACTCGATCATTTGAGATGCCCATGACATAAGCAATTTCACGGACTTTTACCACATATACACTTTGGTTACAATTTCTGTTGTTGTTGCTGTTTTGGACGTACACTACGTGGTTCATCTTCAATGCTTGTACGACCACGTTCAAATTCAGCAAACCAATTTTATACTATTGAATATGTAGGAGCACTTTCACGTAACACATTCACCATATTCTTATGAATTTCTTGTCCCGATAAACCTTTTTTATATAAATACTAGCTGGCCAGGTCCGCGTTGCCGGCCCGTAATTTTAGTCTTTAATGCTTATTATATATTTATATATATATATATATATATATATATATATATATATATATATATATATATATATATGTTTATTTATTCATAATCAGCATAAAACTCTAATTCAAGTTGTCCATCTGTATGTCTGTTTGTTTAAATTACGCTACAGCCTACATTATTTAACGTAGAGCATAAAAATTTAGCAGAACAATTTGTATTGTGTATAGAATGGTTGATATTGAAAATAAGATCTATCGGTCCACGATTTTGTATAGTCCCCATATAACGGTATCTCTCGAAATTCGGTATTTTGATGATTTTTGCCACATTTCTCCTCGGATTTGGCTAACACATATAACGATACCTACCGATGTTGGGTATGTTGATAATCCTAGTCCCATTTACGCACACAATTGTTTCAAATTTGGTATTTTAGAAGGTTTGATAGATGACAATCCTTGAAGTATAAAATTGTCCACAGAGGTTCCCGTTTTGGTATGGCCCCATATAACGGCCTCATTCACTTTATGGTTTTTTGATAAGTTAACTGCATTATCCAAACAGTCTTTCTGGTATATGAAGTTTAAAGTGAAACACGCCTGAATTCAGATACTTTTATATCAAAAAGTTTTCTTTACCCTAAGGTGGATGATAATAATAGTTCTGCCCGGCCGAACTTAATTTTTTACTTGTTTTTAAAGTAATATGTAATATTTGTTATTGAAATTGCGCGTTGGAGACTATAATGTCAATATCTTTCATCATAGTATAATTCAAGGACGATTAAACAAATTGTCGGTTCCTTAAATCATATGATGGTTATGCAAAACGTGATTAGTTTTTGGAAGGACGGTTTTTCCCCAAATTGCCAACAGTTGCCGAAATTAGTATAAAAATATGGTTAAAATGTAAGATATACTTGAAATCGGGTTGTATCCTTATCCGGGGGTTATGACCAATATCATGATTTGCAAAAGCGATTTAAGGTATAGTGAAAGTTTAGAAAGAATTTCTGAAAGAATAGAAATCCTTTTCCCTCTTCTTTTTTGCGCCTTTTATATTCCGTATTTCACTGATTTCACAGTCCCAATGAATTTTGCATATTGAGTTCTCATGGGACGGATTATTGTCATATGAAAGAAGTAGGTAGGTCCACGTGTTGAAATGAGCCCCATAACGCTTTGACGTTTATTTTTGTTTGTTTAAATGTGTTTGCATCTTCCAGCTGAAGCACAATGTAGATCCTGGAGTTGAAAGCTAGATGTCAATTTCAGACATGAAAGATCGCCATTTAACATCGTACTATTTCATTTTTGATATTATTCATTCAGAATTCAACACAATAAAAAATGTACACTTCTAAATAGTTTTTAAATTGAAAAAATTTCACGCCAAAAAGATTTTTTCATTTAAATTTTTATTGGCATATTTTACGCATTTTTTTGCCAAGATTCCATTCCGAAGTTGTATGAATTGTGAAAATCCGTCAAAACGTTCTTGAGTTTTAAGCATAGTAAATAATAAACAAATTGGAAAAAATCAGCTTGTTCGCTGGTTTTTTACAGCGAATGTTTAAGGGTCCATACTATAATTTTAACATTTGATTCCATTGACAAAATGTTCTCTTTTTTCCCGATTTTAGAGTATTTGCAATGCAATAGGCTCTTTTTTGATTTTTTAGCAATTTTGAAAAAAGGATTTATCTTTTAACTTTGGTTTGACCACGTTAAATTATTTTGACATCATCTATTTAGGTCCGCCGCTCCATAATTTTTGTCGCTTTATACTACCCAAAAAGACTACACATCATATTAGAACTCAAAAAAAAGAACACTACAAATGTACATTCCAAAATAGTAAGTCAAAATGACACCTCAAAAGACAAAATGAAAATTTTCAAATTTCACATTTTTACGCGATTTTTTTTTTTGGGTTTTTATGGGTACTTTTCTGCCAAGAGACAATTCCGAATTTGTATGAATCGTTAAAATCAGATTTTATATATATAGATAGATTGAAAGTATGCGTGGTCAGTTCCTCAGCCCCCAAAAAATCCCTAGGGTTAGAGGGAAAGTCAACAGTGTCTCGTGTAATAATTTTCAAACCGATATCTTCTTTATCTGACAAATATAAAGATTTTAGATAAATCAAGATAGTGGGCGTAAAAGTAGGCGTGGTCGATATTTTTTTCTTTAAAAACCTAACTCGGAGCATGACGAACGTTTGTACAAAAAATTATGCAAATCAGTCCAGCCGTTTTCAACTGATTCCGTTACCAACAAACAACAATTGATTTTTATATATTTTTTTTTGTCATTTAAATGGGGCATTGGGGATCCAATAAACACACATTTTTCATCATAGTATAATTCAATGACGATTAAACAAATATTCGGTCCCGCGTTACTTTCTAATTTCCTATTTGTTCATGTTTCTGCCACAATTTCCGACTGAATGAGTCCCAGATTGAAATTTCGGAGTTTGCTTCATATAGACGTACATCCCAAATCTACGTTCCCAACAAATATTCTCTTGGGGGTTACAAATTCAATAGAATACCAAATTTTCTTTTTTGACCACACATTGGTTGGGAAAGTGAACTTGGGGGTATACTAATGTGGAGACTATACTTAAAGTAGCCTCAAGACAAAGATGGGCCCTTTTCCGAAAACTAAAAAAAATTATGAGAAGAGGTTTTCTTCCCCCTTAAAAACAAAGATGTCAAAATGGAAGAAGTGGCCAAGACCCCGAAAATACCTTAAATCATATGATGGTGATATCAAAACGTGTAAAAACGATTTTTGTAAGGATGGTTTCTTCTTAAATTATCAACATAAGCCAAAATTAGTACGAAAAATATGGTTAAAATGTAGAATATTCTTGAAATCGAGTTGTTCCGTTATCGGGGATTATGACCCATATTATGACCTTCCAAAGCGGTAAAAGGTATATTGAATATTTAGGAAGAATTTCTGGAAGGAATTCGCTCTACTATTTTGCGTCCTTTATAGTCGGTATTTCACTGATTGCAGTCCCAATGTATTTAGCATTTTGAGTTCTCATTGGACGAACTATTGTTATATGAAAGAAGCAGGTCCACTTTTTGAAATGAACCGCATAACGCTTTTTCGGTAATTTTCATCTTCCAGCTGAAGGTCCTAGAATTTTATACATGAAAGATCGCCATTTCGTATTGCGCACTCATTTCATTTTTAATATTATTCATTCAGAATTGAAAACAATAAGAAATGTACTCTTCAACATAAAAAATAGAATGAATTGAAAAAAGAAAAAGAATCTTCAACTGGTTCGCTGATTTTTTACGGCAAAATTTAAAAGGTCCTTACGAAGTTTGTCGGTAGAATGTACTATTATTTTGAAATTTTTGATTCCATTGAAAAATTGTCGATTTTTCCCGATTTTAGAATTTTCATATATTATTCTCTTCTGAAATTATATTATTCTTATTACCCAATAAATACATAAAATCTATAAATAACAGTTTTATCCGTTGTCACTTTCTACTACCAAAAAACAATTACATATATTAGAATTCCTAAAAAAAAAAAACACTACAAATGTACATTCGAAAATAGTAAGTCAAAATGGAAAAAAAATATGCAATATAAAACATTACTATTGTACATTTTAAAAGTCAAAATGAAAATGTTCAAATTTCACATTTTAAGCGATTTTTTTAGATTTTATTCTTTTCTGCCAAGAGGCAATTCCGAATTTGTCTGAATCGTTAAAATCAGACCGGCGGTCTTTATGTTATAAGCGTAGTAATTAACACAACTTTCTTTTACATATAGAGAGATAGATTTAAAAGTAGGTGCGTTCCTTAGCCCTTAAATAAATACTTAGGGTTGGATGGAAAGCCAACAGCATCTCGTGTAATAATTCTCAAACCGATATCTTCACTATTTTGACAAGTATAAAGATTTTAGATAAATCGTAATAGTGGGCGTAAAAGGAGGCGTGGTCAACATTTTTTTCTTTAAAAACCTAACTCGGGGTATGACGAACGTTTGTACAAAAAATTATGCAAATCGGTCCAGCCGTTTTCAACTGATTCCGTTACCAACAAACAACAATTGATTTTTATAGATATAGATAGATATAGATTTAATCTAATTTATTCATAGTAAAAAAATTGCGGATTCGCCTTTTTTGAACACCTGTTTCTATATGAAGGAGTTGACAGATCGAAACAAAATTTAATATGTGTTCGTAGCAGACATTGAAGTTTCCAAACCACTTGACTCTTTTCTGTTTATACCGCGCTTTTTGTGCTAGGCTAAGAAGTTGCATACAAAATTAACTTAATTAGTAAATTTTACTTGAAAATTAAAAAGACATGTATGTTTAAAAAGATTTATATTTTTAAATGTTAGTTTTATTGTGCATATCTTAATTGTAATAAAATGATAAAAGTTATATGATTTCATATATATATATGTATATATATAAGAATATTTTATGGCGCCAACATTTTGGACAGTTCCTCATCTTGAAGACAACCTTTAAGAAATTCTTCTTGTGTTAATTGACCATCGTTATTCTCATCCATTTTGGAAAATATATTTTTCGCTCTTTCCTCTGCCGAGTCTGCTGGTCTATTAGATGAACATGCTCCCAACATATCATATATTGCCTAAAAATATATAATAATTCGCTTATTTAAAAAAGTAATGATTTTCATAAAATACTTATTACTAATTTCAGATGTACACATTTTGAGCAATAGCTACAATATTGCCTATGTTTAATTTAGATTGAAGATTATTGTTTAGCAAAGTTTAGTTACATTGTGAATGGTTAACATCGTTGAGATCTGTCAATGTCAATAGATTTCAACGATTGGCAATTAGCGACAACGCCACCTTGCTTAATGTTGGAATCATCGTTCGTTAATGTAACATTCTCTCTTCTTCTATCGCTTCAATACGAACGAAGACTTTCCCCTCTATTGTGGACATTAAGCTAATATTGTTTACCAAATCTCATTTTATTTATTGAATTTCGAATCAGAATTATGTCTTTTGAGAGCAAACATAGTGGTAGTGCAGTCCATAAATAGAGATTTCACTTTTGAAGTGACATCTACCGAAATTTGAGAAGTAGAAACTACGCCATTTTTATAACATTTTTAATATTTAAATATTTTTTGACGTCGTAAAACACGTTGCAATGAAAAACAAATGTCTAAAACAAGTTGGATTTTGTGTTTTCCCTTCGTTTTATTTTGATCTATAATATATAATAAATGTAAAATATACAGATATGTTTACTGTAGCAACTCAAAGCTTAATTTTGATTTAGAACATTTCATTCATTAAGAGCATTCTCCAGCATATGGTTTAAAGTTTCAAATGATATTTTTTTTTACTTTATCAAATTTTATGATATGTAAATAATTTGAAACTTTCCCAAAAAATAAAGTATTAAGGGTAGGGTTTAAAGACCAGCATCAGGCAGCCACGGCTTAAGTAGCACATGATCAGCTATTTAGCTCGTTTTTGATACGCTAGACATTTTTGTTCGCTATGGAGTGGACTTAACGTCATTGTCTAAATTCTACATACCCACAGTGATTCTTATACCAAATTTACAATTCCGGTCCTATTCCTACACTAAAAATTACGCATTTCCGAAAACCCATTGTCTAAAAACTTAACACTTTTAGTGGACCCGCGTCCCAAGTTCATAATTCAACCTTTCTTCCTATACTCTTTCTACCTATACCAAATGTATCAGTTTTCATACACTACATAGTACGCACTTCTAAAAATCGTCTCGTCACATTTAAATCCTATGCACTCAATGCGATTCTTATACCCTCATACCAAAATTCGTAATTCCACCTCTTTCCTACACTGTACATTAAAGTTAGTACAATTTTGTGCTATTCATACACGTTATAGTACTCATTTTCAAATACATCTTTTATATAAATGACGAACACCAACAATGATCCTAGCCCCAAAATGCACAACCATTAGCACCATTTGGTATTTTCCCCATTATTATTTCGTATACAGCACGGTTATTCAAGTCCGTTTTGCACTCAACATACATAATTCTAGCTTTTTTTCCTATACTAAATATTGTAATATGAATGTATAAAAGTTATTACCTACTGTTTAACTCAGGGGAGTAGGGAGAATGGCTTCGACAGCGGCAATAACAACATGAACTCCCCAGAGTTATTATTATAATATGATGTAATGGTGTGAGGGTGATTCGCGCGTGTGGTGTTATATCACACCAAGAAAGACAAAATATAAGAAATAAAACACTAGAACAATTAGTATAATTCTAGATTAAATTCCATGCTTTATTGATGATTCTTTATTTTATGTTTATGTAATTTGGGATGGCAACAGAGGCCGTGTGCTTATGCTTTCATTCCTACTAAACAAGTGAACGCAGTGGTTCTGACTGATCCCAGAGGATTACTTGTCTCTTTTTATTACCACTACAACTACTTCCAATGGGAGGAATCCGACAACAACCAATACCCAGCGGCGATCCGCTCACTACAGTCTCCGCCAAGGGTGTTGTAGAGGAGATGCCAGTGTGCCAATCAGCATCCGTGATTTACGGGAATTGGGAAGTTGTGGAGGAATGAATTTAACTTATATATTCCGGCCCCATTGCTAGGGCCACGAGCCTAGCAATCTAAATGGAAAAGTATTATAAGTTAGAAGAGAACGTAAATTCAGATTCCTAAGTGAGCAATAGTTGCAGATTTTCAGATTATAACCATAGCGATATGTTTTGTTTTTTAGTTGGCGAATTACCGATACACTTGGTGTAAAATTTCAATGGTTAGCGCAAGTGACTATATCAACAAATTTTGACGTTAAAAAAGTAGCAAGTCTATTTGGCTGTCATCGAAAGAATCCGCTAATTAAAGATTAGGAATTCGAGTATTTAATTTACAAAAAGATGGTGACGAGAACAACTTCCCCTTGTTTCCACAATTCTAGATCCATTTTTAGGGAATGACAATTTTAGTGGACAAATTTCTCTTGGTGCAACAGGTTTAGAGCGAGTAAAAATGTCTAGTTTCATTTTAAGTTTTTTACTAACAATTGATGCGTTAGAATAATGGTATTTTAGTGTTGGGAGACTGGCTATTCGCATTCCTTTTGCGAGAGATTGGGTGCGATTTTAATGGATTGTGACTTTGATTTTGACCGTCGTAAATACCGGAGTGGCCTTTGAACCTCGACTTTTGACTTTTTGAATAAGGTGATCCAATAAAACTACTAATTTGTTTGCAAGATTGTAACTATTGGTACTGTGAACATTTTTAACTACATGACCACGAGACAGACAATTTATGTATTGTTTGGTATTTTTCACAAGCAAGAATTTGTCCTCAGACGAAAGTTTTTTGAACTTGAGACAAAGTCGAAGCACATGACTCTGGTTAGGGCAAATGGGGCAATGGGGGACAGGCACATCTTTCGAAGTTTCGTTAACAATCTTTTTGCGGTTCGAAATGTATTCGTAAGCTTAGATACAAGCGAGTTTTAAGGCGGAGCAACCTTTGACGATAGTGACTTAATCGAGGAAGAAGTAACAGCAACAATTTAGTAGGAAAATTCTCACGTTTTCTCATGTTTTGAATACACTGTAAAGTTTGTATTCTTCCTGTGAGGAAAGCATTTGGCCAGGAAGGCAACAACGACTTATTTTTGATACTCTGCTCTCACAAAGTCAAGGTTGTTAATGGCAAGCACAATAATTGGATCCCACTGATCCGTGGCGACTTCATAGACGCCAATGCAGCGAGACAACTATTTTTCCACCTTGAATATTTTTCAAACCCGTACAAGTTTCAATTTTTTTAGGTTTTTGATATTTTTTTAGTTTTTGATATGACTGTTCACCACGATGCGCTTATTATCATATGCATCAGACAAAGCTTTCCAAGCTAAATGGAAACCATAATTAGTGAGTGGAAATCTGCTAACGATTTCTCGAGCCCCATCGGAAGTCTTCAGTCTAAGATAACAAAGACGTTCAATGTCTGAAAGACGAACATTATTTATGAATAGCGTGGTGAACAGATCACGAAAGGCCAAAACATAAAATCACAAGCAAAGATTTCGATATTAATGGGTGGCTCTAGCATTATTAGAGGAAATAATAGGATTTTCACGAAGAGAGGACTGAGAAGTTACAGCAGGAGCGCTTTCATAATTGTTTGGAAATTTGAGGCGATAAAGGTGCTTATGTCAAATGTTAGTGGTCAAATACCAATGGTATGCGATAAACGACATCCATATTATTAACCTGTGCAGTTTCGAATGCCGTTAGGTAGTGTTTACACTGAGTTTAACTGTGCATGACTTTATCCCACAAATTTTGAATTTCCGAAATTCTAATTTCGAGATTACAGAGGGAGAATTGAGATTCTTTTATCTGCTTGAAGAATTCAACAAATTTGAGAAGAGGTTTAGCAGCTCTAACTAACTTTTTCAAATATTTAATGTTTGTGCTACAAATTTGTTGCAGTGTATGCGGAAAGTAAGGTGTATTCTTCCAAAAATGCCAAAAGCCCACGGAGAGTCACCAATTTATAAACAACAATTAAACAATTGACCAAATTTTACGAAAATAGTCACAAAAACGAACAATTGTAACTAATAAATGTTTCTCGAATATGTGCAAAGAATGACGAATGTAGGGTGAGTTTGTCCAAAAATTCCAAACAGATCAAGTATTGTTGGAGAGGACGACAAACAACCAACCGACAGGGAGGTGGGCTGTTATTACATGTGCGTTGTTTTTGTAAATTAGAAACAAATAATTCTCGTTAAAGGGCTCAATCTTTGAAACGTGAAGGGGGATAACAAAGCAAACGTTTGGTTGATGAGAAATGGAACCAAAAATAAACCAAACGACAAAATATAAAATAATGTGTATGTACATATGCTGGCATTACCAATGTAGTGCTATAAATTCTTCTTCAACTAAGGCGAGGGGTGGAGCAATAATAAGGGGAAATAATTGTTGCTTGATGAGACTTTCTATTCTCACAAAGGGTTCAACATTTGAAATGAGAGTCAGAAACAAAAATAATGAACGAAGCGGTAATAACAAGACCCCAGAATATTTTTGTATGATCAACACGTCGACGGATGATCAGTACAAGGGAAGCTAACTATTTCACAATAATAGAAATACTTGGTGTAGGGAATGCACTTGATTAACACAAGAAGTGTTAATATAAGGCGACAAACTGACTTGTTTTTAAACGAAAGGCTAATGTATGATCAACGCAGTGGTTCTGTGAGTGATCGCTGAGGATCCCATGTCTATCTACAATACATATACTAATACAGACAAGTGAACGCAGAGGTTCTATGTGATCGCAGAGGATCCCTTTTCAATTTTTATTACCACTACAACTATTTTCAATGAGAGCAAACCGACAACAACCAATGACCAGCGGTGATCCGCCCACTAGGGTCTCCCCCAAGGCAGTTGTAGAGGAGATGCCAGTGTGCCAATCAACATCCGTGATTGACGGGAATTGGGAAATTTTTGTGGAACGTATCGAACTTATACACCTACCATTTATATCTTTCCTGAAAGCGGTTATCCTAATACAACAATTAACAATTCCAGCATATTTCC